GTTATATATAATATATATCATAAATTGATACATATGTTGTTCCTGATTTATGTTTCAAATGAAAGTAAATGCAGTTATATTACTCCATTCATATTTCTCATATGAGCCACTGATGAGTTGTCTATGAAATAGTTTATAAGCTGTGCTTAATACTCTTATTTTTTATCTTTTAGGAGGCTTACCGGGAGGAGCAACTTATTTACAGACTAGTAAGACAATCTCAGCAAGAGCGGAGGATTGCTGTTCAACTCATGCACGTTCGACATGAAAAAGAGGTGTTAAGGCAGAACAGAATTTTCAGGGAAAAACAATATGAAGAAAGACGACTGAAAGAGTTCCAGGAAGCTCTTGATAGAGAAGCGGTAAAAGATTATTTGCTCCCTGAATTGCTGCAGGACTGTTACAGTACCTTCCTGTTATAAAATGGAATTTGTATTGTCAACTGTTAGAACACTTTTCTAGGGACAGGGTGATTTAATGATGAATATATTCTTTTATCTAGGTTCAAAGTTACAGCTAAATTAATAAGGGATAGAGCTGAGCAACTTGAAGTCTAATTTTGATCTTTTCTTCCGAACTAATTTTAACTTTATAAGAAAACATCTCTGAATGCTGAGTTTAAAAGGCACAGTCTTGCAGAGGCAAAATGACAAAAGACAATGACATAAGATCTTGTTTCAAGAATCATGTTTTTCATTTCCTTTAGATGTAATCTGTTAACATCCATTTTTGACAAATGCTGGGCGAGTTTCACTCATGAGCGCTAATTTCTACCTTGGAGCTTGGGGTTGATTAATAAATTAAAAGGACTCATAATCCTCTGGCAAACTGCCAAGTGCTGTGCTCATAGTAAGCCATAATGTGATGGTAGAAATCTTATTTTGCTCCTGCCAAAAACGATTAGCAGCTCCAAATCCTCTAACACAGCTGGAGTTCTATGTAATCAGCAGCTATAGCTGTTGATTACAACATCTCTTTAAGTATGCTTTCGGCCAAAAGGAACACACTGTCACACGAACTACTGATAATTTTCTACCATAACCAGAAATCTTTCTCAAAGATTGAACAGCATCAATAATATCAAATTATTTGCTGATCAGAATCTTGTAAGTTAAATTATTTGTCACATATTCTAAATGAGTATTCCATTATGGGTTTCAGTGGAACTAAGCCTTTACCAATGCATCTGCATAGTTGTTTCTTAGGAAGAGTAGACAGCATCATCTCATGTTTCCCTGCACCCTAAGCACTGAATATGTTCTTAATCTGTTTGTCATGAAAGAAGTAATATATTTCTCCCTTATTTCATTATATTTTAGCAGTTAGAAAGCAAATAAACTGGAATTTATAGAATGAAAAAAAATTTTTAGGTTTCTCTATATGTTAATCTGCTTGCTAGCTATCCAACTCTGGTTGGAGAATCTAGCTATTTTCATTTCTTGACTTAAATGAACAAGTTCATTTTCATTTCCAGGACTGTGCATTTCTGCACTTTCATTTTCTTTGCAATCTCAAATTTACTCTTTAAAAAAAAATTCTAGGCTCTTGCAAAACAAGAAAAAATTGATTATGAACAACAAATTATCAAAGAAAGAGAACGCCATGAGAAATTTGCAGTTGAAAGAGCTCAGGCACGTTATAAAAAGCATTATTCTATATGTTGGGAAGTGATCGACCAAATCATTGATTTATCAACAAAAGTAGGAGAATATCGTCTGCTGACAAACAAGTGAGTATGGTAGCTGTTAGGCAAAAATAACAGCTGTTAGGTAGCTGTTAGGCTTCATTATTTAGGCTGGTTTAAGCACCATAACATCTTATGTAGATTCTCAGATATTTCACAGGACAGCTCCAATCAGTTTGTGTGGGAAAATGATGATATTACTTTCGTGTGAGGATTCACTGATGTGTAACACAGGGTGAACTAATGCTAAAGCCTTAGCATAACTTCTTGAAAACTCAGCTAACTTGAATACTTAGGAGACCAAGATCCATTACTTCTACAGCTTGTGGCACTACTGGTTTCCTTTTTTATGAACAAATTCATTAGTTTAGAAGTTAAAAACTGAGCGGTGCTCAACTCATTCTAGATTGCTCCACTAGCTGAACACTTCCTCAGTATAATATAAACAGAATGAATTTCCTAAGATATATCAACCTGCCTAGACTATCCTAAGAGTAGCAACTCAGTCCAAAATCTTCCAAGTCCTACATGCTGTGATTCCCTCTTCTGATGTGCCCTAATTGCACAGGATTTCTGAGAATGTCCTAAAAAGGTAGTAACCTCTAAGTGCCTGTGCTGTAGGAGTGTTTCCAAAACCATAGCGTGGGACGTTGTCGCTGTTGTTCTTTCATTAGTATTCAGTGATTAGACTATGGGGTAAGGCTTACAGCATTAGAAAGTATGCCAAAATCTTCATTGCTTTTTAGTGTAATTGTGTGTTAAAATAATAAAGCTGTAACCATATGAAATACATATCATTATATTTTATGGAAATTATGTAAATTTAGGCCCAGTAAGTACGTGATAAAATAGTCAGCCTAGACACAGCTTAGTGATGATTTGGTGATTTCCTTGTCCGACACAGTGATGGTTCCAGTGTAAACTAGTGTCACATTTCCTTGTACTGAGTGGTGCACAGTATGTACAGATATTTGAAATATCAAAGTATGCATATCAAGGTTGTATCTGCATTTACTGCCACTACTGGTATGCTTTGTCTGTCCTTCCATACACTTCACTGTGCAGGATGAATACAACAGGTATTCAATTATTTTTGAACAGCACATGCAGAGTTTATTTAAAGCTATAACACTCAACTATCTACAATCATTACTAAAAAAAAGACATTCCAAATTGAAGTGATCTTAAGACATAGTAGAAACTTTCATTTTGACCATTTGTTAAATTTAAGCTGTTGTTTATATTGTTTATTTAGCAGCCATAGAATTCTAATGTGACATATGTCAGCATCCTGTTTGCATTTAGCATGCTACTATATGTAGTTTGTCTTGCAAAATATGTCTTGCATGAATATTTTTCCTTTCTAAAAGAAAAAAAAATTGAGTTTATTTACTCATATAATTCTAAATTAATTTTAGCTTCCAGGAAAAAATTCTATAGATTTTTGGTGAGAGGAGGCTTTACCCCATAAAAGGGAAGAATATTTTGGAGCAGGGAAAAATAGCTATAGCAAAACTGTTACTACGCAGCTCTGCCAGCCAAATAATGTGTGGTGACACATTTGTGAAAATACTGAAGCCTACAAGTGCCTACGGTCGTCATATAAGTAACCAAATACTTATAAAAAGCTATAGTAATTACAGAAAGCTATAAACTATGCTAGTTTAGCATATGCTTGTTTCATGGTTGTGATTCTTGTAAATTTGGGTCCACTATTCTCAAATATCGAACCCCTTTAATTTTTGCTTTGTAACTCATCCTTTTTTTTTTTTTCTTCTGCAGAAGAATTCCATTAAAACTGATGCTTGATTGGAAGGAATTTTTTTTTAATGGAAAACCAATGTATGAACAAGCCTCAATTCAACCTTTGCCAAATGAACCAAGCCCAGAACAACTTGTAGAGCTGAATAAAATGAATCTGTTAGATGAAAAAGATTATGGTGAATACAAGGTACATCAAACTGATAAGACATAATGGAAGATAATACACCTTGATTTTTCACAAACATAAACATTTTGTTGTGATATTTCATTTTGTTCTTTTACTAGTTTTTCTAGTTTACTAGATTTTGACATGCATTTTCTTTTCATTGCCTGAGGTTCTGTATGAAATATATGGCTTTGGCTATATTTTATGTTGGTAGCACTGGAGACCTAGTGCAACGTTAAAACACTGTTATAATTTCATTCTTATATATAGCATTGATTATATTTCTCTCTTGAGTCTGTAAAACCAACATGTTAATTGCAATGCAATTGATTTTTAGCTAGTTGGAATTTGAAAGTGTGGTTAATGCTACCATGTTTGAAAATGCAACAGAAAGCAGCCAGCAAAAGCAAATAAAATTAAATACTGTATCTGTTACAAAACCTGACAGTCTTAATTTCAGCAATTTTGAGTTGAAAGTTTCTAACAAGATTTACTAGTTTGAGTGATCCATTTATTTTAAGATGGTACTGTTTGTGAAAATTATTAAAAACGGCTGACATTTTTGTTAGCCTTCTATTAGAATACAAGTAACTATTTTTCAGGGTGCCTTAAAACTTTTCTTCAACTTTACAATACCTTAATGTAATTTCACAAGTGAAAGATGAAGGATGAGTGTTTCCCTGTTAAAATGTATTGTACAATTTTTTCCAAATTACATTAATGATGCTTTTCTTTGGGAAAAAAAAAATCCCACTACATATTTAGTCTTTTCAAATAATCTGTTTAACTAGAATATGGCAAAATCATGGCAAATAACCTGTCTTGGATTTATTGGGAAATTATAACAACAACATGTATGTGTTTATGCTTTTATCGACATCCTGAACCAATTGGTACGTTTTCTTTTGCAGTGAGTATAAATGTTTGTTACGAGTTTCTGTGATGAATGCCTGACAGCTCCATTTGCTTTGGTTTCAATTTTAATATGTTTTTCTGATTTATCTATTTATAAGATCCATGTTCAGACCATATCAACTCATGTAATGAATTTCATGATCACTTTCTTTAGGTGAAAAAAGGCATATATACAAGACCAATAGGGAGGACATATAGGACAGACAGGCAAGAAACAGTTAGTGGGGAGCACTAATGAAAAATTAAGTTTTTCAGTCATATTGTTCATATTACAAAGTCTCAGTAGTCTTCTCTACATGTAAGGGCACTGAAGGTTGCAAACATTTAATGACACATTTAAAGATTCTTTTTCGCTACCAGTGTGTTTCAAATGCACATTCACGTAATTAATTTTTTTTCTGGATGTTGTTAGTCTTATGCCTTTCTGAATCAGTGTACATCAAAAGCTGGTGACACATCATATGACGCGTGCAAAATTGTTGGCACCAATTTATACTTATGTCTTCTAAAAACCTAAGTGAACAGCTATGTTCAAAGTATTGCTACTAGATAAAAATGTATTGGCAGGGCATTCTGGCAAAGTTTATGCTGATTTTCTTAACTCTTGAGAAAAAAGCCCAGCACAGGCAAATTGGCATCTCTCAAGAATACTATGTTTACATTAGGAATACTGCCTAAAAGTGTCAAATACATTTGATAAAATACAAAAAAACCATACAGTGCTATCAGTCCATTGCACATTCCACATTAGATTAAGGTTGAGAATACTTGGAAACTACCACATCATCAGTTGTGGCTAATCACTTAATAAATTAATGGAATCACCCCAAACAAGCATAACAGTAGGCACTGCTCAAAATATCCAGTTTCAATCAAGAGTGTTGACCAGGAGTTATATAACCCTCATCTGGATACCTAAAAACTTGTTTCTGACAGGTAAGCTACTTTAGCTCAAGACAGGTACAGTCTAGCAATCTTCTGGTTAAAAGGCCAAGAAATCTGAAAGGTGGGTACTTTAATGGGGAGCCTACTCCATTTGGAATTGATTTTTCCTACAGGTCTGATAGAATTTAAAGCAATTGATCCATCTCTACTTATATGTTTAAGGAAGAATTGTTCAGATAAGAAAAGGATTTGGTTTTTTTAAGCATGTCTTTTCAATTACATATTAAGAAGTATGTTTTCTGAGATATATTCGAGAGTGGATATTGTGCAACCCAAAAAGATTTTTTTGTTTGTTTTTACTGATTAAAAATAGATGATATTTTAATTTAGGGTGATACGTTACATTCTGTTATTCTATCTAATGCACATATGTTCAAAGTCAACACTGATCAAGTTCTGTTAGCTGAATGTGTGCTGTGGCAATATATCATTCATGATAGTAAGTTCGGGAAAAGGTTGCATATTCTACCTGGAACATGAATTAAAAACATTATCTTTCCGTAGAAGTTTGAAAGTGGTTTCTTCTGTTGATGGTGGTGAAATATTTGATTTATAGAATGATACAATTGTTTAGGTTGAAAGGGACATGGAGGTCATTTAATTCAACCTCTTTGCTCAAAGCAAGGCCAACTTCTGAGTTAGATAAGGTTGCTCAGCACCTTGTCTGGTCAGCTTTCAAGTATTTCCAAGGATAGAGATTCCATAGAATCTCTGTGCAACCTGTTCCTGTGCTTAACCACTCTCATTGTGAATATTTTTTTTCTTCATTTTTTTCATAGTTGGAATTTCTCTTGCTGAAACATTTGACTTTGCCTCTCAACACTTTATTGTGCACCCCAAATGAGGTGACAAGCTAGAATCTAATTGGGAATATTATTAGTCCACATATCTTCCAAAAAGTTGTTTAGTAGCCTGCAACCAAATAATACTTGATACAGGACTAGTATTATACTGCATACTAAAATGTTCTCTTTTAGCTTCTCATAACATAGACTGCACATCAGGACTTTCCTAGTGTTATAAGATCCAATACTGGTAGAGCGCGGTATTGGTGAATTGATTTTTCATGTTTTTGGAATTAAAAAAAATTGTTCTAGGAATCTATGAAAATGGTTGTAGGAGTACTTGTCTCTCTCAACTAGGTATTAGTGAATATCAATAAATGCTTAATGATTATGACATAATTACATCTTTTAACAAGGATCTAGTCTAAATAATATTAAATAATATTATTTAGTACTATTCAGATTTGGTTATTGTATGTATTGTGTTTGTGTACAAATACATATAACTAGAAAGATGAAAGACAAGACATATTGACAAATTATTTGCTGATTTGTCATTTATACAGAGTATGACAGGGGAATGGTGCCCAGCTGAAGAGAACAGTGAAAACAAACCTCCTCTTAATAATAACATATTGGGTCATGTGCTTCGTAGATTGATGGAGACTTTCTATCCTCCAAAACCCAAATCTTCACCACCTGTATTTCCTCCATTTCCTATCAAGGGATGTATTTTGGGAAAACTTTTTAGTGGAAAAACTACCTGTGTAAAGTTTATTGAAAAAGGTAGAGGTTTTTTTTTTTTTTCCCTAAAATTCTTAAAAATGTTTATTTGCGTTAAAATCCCACTCTTACAATGAAAATCGTTTGGGCAAATCCTTGCATTACTAATCCTTGAACCTCAGATGCATCTGTATTTGGTTGCAAGTCATTCATTCATTATCTTCCAAGTAAGATTAAAAACACCTGAACATAGTGTTAATATAGTATTACTTCTGCATTGAGAATTTGAAAATGCTTTTGGCAAACTTCTCTGGGGATGTTTGTTATAGAAGAGACTAGCAAGATAGCTATGTGATTGTGGATACACACTGTGCAGTGGTAACAGAGAAGAGACAGTGGAAACAACCTACATCAAAAACCCAAGCGAAATCATTGATTTAATTGACAGTAATAGTCTCCCTGTATGTATACTCAACTCAAACTGTGAAGTTATCTAATTTTTTTGTGTATTAGTTTGCAATATTCAGGTACTGTCTGTTGATACTCTGGTTCAGGAGGCCATCCAAGCTTTTCTTAAAAATGAAATGAAAAGTGAACACAATGTCATTCTACAAGAAGCAGAGAGTTCTGGGGAACAAAATGAGGTAAGCATTTTTGTTAATTTTGGTTTTGGCTCCCACAGGGAAATGAGAATGAAATATACAAGAAAGAAAGCATATTGTTTCAATTTTCTAGTCAATTTCAAACTTAATTCTAAGTTTTGACTTACAAGACTTCAAGAGTCAGCATGAATTGACAGGCTTGTTTTTCCTGTAATATGTAGTTTCCTTTCTAATCAATTTCCTTTCATAATGGATACAAGGTCCAGAAGAACTTATCAAAATCACCACTGAAAGTTCTAAATAAACTCCACACAGAAACAGCTATCAATGGAACCAAAGGTGTGTGTATATTTTATTTATATATGTATATATTTATTTATAAAATTTAATTTTAATTCTTATCTTATTAGATTTAAATGGCAATTCCCCTTTCTCGTGTATGTTTGAGGTAGTATCCATGACATCTGAGTTTTCACAGTAGTTTCCATTATGAATTTCCTGTTTCCATACATTCCTGTTGTCTGGGAGCAGCAAATGCAGGCTGCTCCATGAAGGAAGGTGAGCTAGGTGATGAGGGCAAGAGCAAAGCAGGAAGCGCCAACATTCACCCACAAAGAGTGAGGATATTGACTGAAGTCAGGGTCACTATCAGGTCCAGAGACATGGATCAGCGTGAGCCTCAGTCTGGTGATAACCCAGCAATTCTGCCAATGAAGCAAGTCTGAGGTCAAGCCAGGAACTCGAGTCAGCAGGTGTGGGTCAGAGGAGACAGGATACGAGGTGCAGACGTGGCTGCTACACAGCTATAATGTACCACAAGCAGGGTCCAGGATGAGAGCTTCAGCTTAGAAGCAGCTTCCAAAGGAAGGAAGGGCAAGCCCTCACCTCCCCTCACTTTACCTTTCTTTACAACAGATCTTATCAGCAACGGAACTGACACTGGGCTCAGCCACCTAAACTCAGAATCACAGAATGATTGAGGGTGGAAGAGACCTCTGGAGCCCAATCCTCCTCCTCAAAGCAGGGTCACTACTGCAGGTTGTTCGGGACTATGTTCAGCTGGATGCTGAACATCTCCAAGGGTGGAGACTCCACAACCTCACTGAGCAACATGTTCCAATATTCCATAACCCTTACAGTCAATATTTTTATGTTTAAATGGAATTTCCTGTGTTTCAGTTTGTGTCTGTTGCCTTTTGTCATTTTACATGGCACCACTAAGAAGAATCTGTCTCTGTTTTCTTTATTCCCCTGCCCACCCTTGATATTTCTACACGTTGATAAGATTCCCCTCAGGCCTTCTCTTCTGCAGGCTGAACAGCCCCAGCTCTCAGCCTCTCTTTATATGTAAGATGCTCCTAGACCTTAGGAATTGTCAGGGCCTTTCTCTATCCATGTCTTTCTTGCACTGGGGAGTCCCAA